CTGCAAAATGGTATAGAATGCGGCAGCGGATAAAACATCATTGGAAGTGCATTTACAAGATAAATACAAGGAGCTGGAGACTCCTTGAAATTATTGTATACACTTGCAATAAAGGCCCGACTGGACGCTGGAGGATAGAACCAAGAGAAGAGAAGCCGTGGTTCGTTTAAAGGTCTGACTGGAAAATGAAAAAAGTCCTTAAACTGCTGGGTCTTGGGTTGGTGAGGTCTGGGAAACCTTTGTCGCACTGACTTCTGTTCACATGTTGGGTGAAGACGTAGATCTTTCAATATGATATACGAACGTGTGCAGTCTTGGGAATAAGCTCCCCGAATTAGGGGTATTGTCTAAACCCTGGGTGCACCGACACGATACCACCATGGACATGATTCGTCTGTTCTAGACTCGCTGCCAACACCAGAGGGAGGATGTTGGTGACACTAGGTTGCTGGTGCCATTAGGCAGTGGTGAACATGCAGTTATCACTTTTACGTTTAGGATTCACGCTGTCATGCCTAGGTGAACAGCTGGCGGTCTGAACGTATGGTAAGAGAATATACCTGCAGTCTGGAACGCAACCCTATCTGACTGGTCTGTTGATACACACCAGACTCCGAATACGTTTGCGATATCTTTTCATCCAGTTGAACCACTCTGGGGTATAGCGAGCTCATTACTGTAGCCACTAAAATGTCCTCAACTGTAGAAGAGGATGCTGTGTTACTCAAACTTTTGTCTAAAATGAAGCCAGGCAAATAACCTGTACTCGGAGGACTTCACTCTAGACTGCTAATCTCCTTGGCGGATATAAAAAACATTCCACTTACAGAGATTTTTCCAATGTCTCTGACCCAGGCTAGGCTGCACAGGGAATAGAAAGATGCTTTTGTAGACCCCACCTTCAAAGAGGGGAACAGGCAGTCAATATCTAAATACCGGCCTGTAAGTCTAACCTGGATTATAGCAAAGGCACTAGAAACACTCACAAGGGATCAGCCCCCAGCTCATATGGAGAAACACGTCTTATTGGCGGTGGAACAGCACGGATTCTGATCAGAACGATCCTGCCTGACAAACTTACTTTTAGCTAGGGAGGATTGGGTCAAAGCCAGGGATAAGAAACATCTATGCGACGTTGTCTTTATCAATCTTGGCAAAGCATTCGATAAGTTACCCCATTTAGGTATTATTAGTAAATTCAAATGTCTCCGGTTAGACCAACGCACTGGTGTTAGCGTTTTCGATGAAAATGTAGCTGTGCTCAAACATTGGTGTTGCTGTTTTTTTAATCAAAGAAACCAGTATTTAAGCACGCAACAAATATGAACAGAGTATGTTCTTTGGTGGCACAACTGTTAGGACGCTCGCCGACCATGCACGTGGTCCGGGGCTGGATCATCGGCCGACGGACTACTTTACCTCGCCAAACCGGTAGTAAAAGTCGGTAAAGAGGAAACGTTGGGCACTAGGCTAGCAATATGAGGCTAGAAATAAACACTGTTACAGAAACTTCAAGGAACTAGCTTGAAGCCGTGTGTTCCAATGGCAAGTAAAAATTAAATTAATTTGAGTTCTTCCTTTAATGAATGCCTAGGTAGTTAAGAAAATACAAAGTATAATAGTGCGTGGATAAAAAGGCCATCGCGGAGTGGATAAGTGACATTTCAGAGAGAAGTGTTTTCAACGATCTAGGAGATTAGAACCTGTATGGTAAGCTGAACTGTAAGATATCTGACAATTTTCCGTAGGTCTTATCTGGTAGCATCTTGAAAAGAACCTGAGCGGGCCCGTATATGGTAGAAGCAAAAGCACTTTTAATAATGTAGATCTGTAAAATCCTTACTTTTTGTTAAGGTTCTGAACCAATGTTTAATTCTTCGGCTGTCGAAAATGCGTGTTCTATCCCACATATCGGAGCGGTTCACATTTGCGACCACTACTATACCTGCTGATCAGAATGGGCCATCCTCCTTCATTTTTGATGTTAAGCTCTAAGATTTTTTGCAATAACTGTGGTTGGAGCATTGCATTCCTTAGAGACCGTCCCAATATCTTTCATTACAGATGCTTCCAATTTGGTCACCTGATACATCGATACCTTGAGAGATTCTTAGCAGTATCACCTTTAGACATGAATGAATGTATTTACTCCACGGTCTGTCCGAAACGATTGAAAGCAGTCCCTCCGCACATGGATTAACTGAGAGACGCGTATAATACTTAGGTCTATGCATAGGTGCTGAAATGTTTTTACTGCCCTCGGGACGTCAGGAGGCAGAATGTTGCACGCTGCAGTCAGAAGCAAAGCTTTTCAATGATTTCGTCAACCGTGGATGAATTTGGAAGTGCATCTAGGGCCGAGATTAGTGGTACAACCCAAGAAAATGTCTCCTTACATGAACCACAGGGATCAGATGTTTGATGTAGTCCTAGACCGGACTATTATAGGCAGAATCTGACGGGATCAAACAAAGATGGAACAACACGGGACAACTTCTTCAGAGTCTTCATACAAGAGTCGTCACCCCGTCCAACATCAGCTCTTGTCATTTTAGAGGAAGGTGAGGTAGATTCCGTTTACATAGTCCGAAAGTCCGCGACCCAATTACCAGATATGCAGCTCACGAGGAAATCAATGGGACACAATGACCTTCACATTGGGCTATTCACGGATCCGGCAGATCTCGTACGCGGTTCCCTGATTGCAGTCATCAGGCTCACTCTTCATTTCAAATGAAGAGTAAACATGCGACTGTAAAGACGTTACAGTAACCCTAATTCGTCTATCATTTCAACCAGAATATTGAAGGAATAATCAAAAAAGCGCCCATAACAAATCTAAGAAGCAACAAATTTTTATCCGCCATGCGGAGAAACCATCTGTGCTTGGCAAACCATCTCAGAGCAAAAGTAATGTGAGTTAGATCCAAGGTTAACGAGAAACTTTTGGACATAACTTTAATGGATTTCGGCAAGACTATCAATGAGTGTTGTTCAAAAAAGTTCTTGGATCGAGGGGCTTGTCTAAGCTGGATAAGGAAATTCATAATAGGCAGGAGAAAAAGTCAGGTCCAGCCCAAGACTCTCTTCATGAAAAACCGTACGTAATGGCGTGCCACATGTTAATGTACTTGACCTCTCTTATTAATTCTATATATCAATGAATAACGTAGGTCTACGTAATCCGCTGTGGTCCCCTACTTAGATGACTTGAGCATTTGAAGGTTTGAGGGTGATAGGGGGTGCTTACATTGGAATGAGTTTTCAGTAGACGGTGAAACTGGTTCAAAGATTGCCTGCTCCCATAAAAGGCAGCAAATTGAGCAAACAATGAATATCAAGCACTGAAGCGTTAAGCTGATATGGTACAAAGAGAAAAATGATACCAGGGTTTCGGACGCATTCGGATCCAAATGTCGGAGTCAACAACTAAAAACAATGCTACGCTGGTGTGTTGTGGCAACACAAAGTTTGGGATCCTTGTAGGCTATATGAACAGCTTTTACTAATATTATCAGTGAAATATCCACCTGTTTGTATGTATGCCTTGTGACCTGCGAACTAGAAAACGCCATCTCCTAATAATATGGTAGGCAGAGACAACGGTGTTCAAAATTCTAAGAAACGACTACCGATTTAGTGTGTCTTCTATTTTCCCTCCCATCAGGTCAGAGCATCTCCGAAAAACGTAGCAGAACGGCTCAAAGACCAGGGAGGAGACTATGTCACTGTAGAGTAATGGTCCTGCCACCAGCTGGTGAAATATAGGAACTGATTCCTAGAGGTTATGCTTGTACCCGTGGTCGACTGGTAAGGTTAAACAGTAGCGTCCCAGGAGTGTGAACGCACGAGTATTCTTCAGCAAGCCAATCAAAAATGACCGATGTTTGTACAAAAATTACAAGAAAACGCATGGAAACACATTGAACAGGGTGCCTTTCCCTGATAGGACCTACAAATACGTCCCAGTTATAATGAGGAATATCATTTACTAAGTTAGATTAGTTCCTGTACATGCGTAGGGGACTTATACTAGAGTTCACTAACACAAATATAAGAATAATAATCCAAGTCAATGGAGTGTTAAATAACAATATATTACCAAAAATTGCAGTGACGAGTTGTATCAACAAAAAGGATTACTTGGATATAAAGTCTAAGTCCTCTGCTACAAATTATGTATATAATCCACGGGTACGTTAATTGTGTTGCGTCTGCTGTAGCTGCTGTGTTCCGGTTGTAGAAATGTCTTCGGCTGAGAGTAGTAGACTCCTACAATAAATCCGAAGTACACAACACGGTGTGAGTGGAGCAAATAAGCGGAAGTGACCGGGGAGAAGACGAAGTCTCCGACAGCAGAGTGTATTTTCCAATTGTACACGGAAGTTATGTATATTTCAACAAGAAGCGTTTTAAACAAAAGTTATGTACAATATCTCGAATTTATACAAATAACCAAAAAGTGTACAATCACATTGTTACGTACTCCACACATGTATTCACCGAGGTGACTGAATATGAGCTGTTTTTGTGGATTGTTTATCTCTCCTATCTTGTTGTGAAGTCTTCCCCGAAAGCCGTTGGCTAAATTACTATGGTTTACAGTATAAGGATCGACGACTACTTATCAGGAAAATGTGGATAATCAAACTAATGAAAACAAATGACATCAGCTCTAAATCTTTCCCTAATCGTAACCCTAACCTCAGTCCTGAACCCAACCCCAAACTTGATACTGACACTAACCTTAATCTTAACCCTGATTACAACTCTTATCCTTACTGTAAACCTGACCCCAATCCTAATTATGACCACGATCATAACCCTATTCTCAATACTTACATTAACTCTAATCCTAGCCCTAACGAGCTGTTAACACATTGTCCAGATAGTACTCACGCATGTGATCTGAGTGAAATATGCTGCTCATTTGGTGAATAGCTTTAATATTTCAGCTCTCAAAATGACAGGTGCAGTTAGTCAACGACTACCAAGCGTTCAAGGTCACTTGAGTGTTCGCACTCCTGATAGGCTATTGTTAAACTTCACCGGTCAACTCGCTAAAGGAGGGTTTTGGACAAGCACGAAAACTTATTAGAAGAAGATTAACATGGGTTTGAGGCCTCGCGTCCCCAACCAAAAAGAGAGTCTGAAAATGATATTGGATACTAATTCAGCTTCACTCTAAATACTCACTTTCAAATATGTGTGCAACGGCGCTAAGTCGTTATGAAGTAGAAATTTTATGACCTATGTTTAAGGAGGTTAGGCCGGAAGTGACTGCTTTCATTGAGCAAAGTAGAAAGCAAAGAGATGAAAGACGTGATGCAAAAGTCAAAGCTTTGTCGGCAGTAGTCATCCAGGTTTGTCTGAATTTGCAGGTAATTCATTAAACTTTAGAAAAACTGGCGTAGTTTTATACAGAGGAAATATGCCATTCAAAGCTTTAGGTTTGTATATCTGTGTTATACACATTTTGAATTAAGGTTGGAGTTTGACTCAAAATTCTCCGGAGTAACGGACACCAGAACAATCCAATTCATTCCTGGTTTGTTGTGCTTTTGTTTCCTAATATATTCTTAAGCTGTTCAGCTGTTAAGATACATTAAATGCTTACAGTTTAAATATTGTCCTAAGTCGGACTACGACGTAAGCTGGATTTGAAAATCTTTAGCATTTGATTCATAACTAGCGCTTTCAGTTGCTTATCCGATATTTGGTTAACTCAGTGGAAGCTGGAGATTCAAATGTATGTTATTTTATAAAGTAGTCAAACAGTATTTAGACGTCCTACATTTCCCTTGCACTAAGAAAACCCACCTTAGTGGAATGGATAATTACGACAAAATGGCTGTTTACTACGATCTTAAGTCACATGAGTGGTGTCGATGTATGTTTCACTTGTTTCATTACATTCCTTTAGCCATCTGTTCCCAGTGACTCAAGGATACTGAACGTATTTTTGTCGTTTTTACTCATCCACACAAATTGCTCGCAATGGTCTTTAATCCAGGGTGAGTTTTCGTGTGCTGTTTTCGCTTAACATGGTTTTACGTTTTATATTCTATTTGTTGGGTTTTTAATGTGGTGCTTAGTGAGAACCTCAGATGGTTCAGTAGCAATTATTTAAACACATTTCTAACTACAGGACTGAGTTTCCAACCATTGATCACTAACCTTGAATGTATTTCGTCAGGTAATGTAGGCATGTACACAGTTGGAAACAACATTCAATGCTGTTTTATCTGGCTAACTCAGTGAACTCACCTAGGATCCATTATCTAATTTAGTGAGCTCTGTGTACTAGGCTAAAACAAAAACTATGCATTATGGTACTGTATCACAGCTTTATGATATGATTTACTATATCTATTGGCTGATAGTAAAGAAATCTCCGAAGGTTTTGTACAGTACAGTACAGGCGTGACATCCGGCTATCAACCAAGGGACGTGTGTACTGCTCAGCAGTTCGCTCCGTCCTTCTCTATGGCTCTGAAACATGGCCAATACGAGTTGAAGAAATGAAAAGGTTGACTGTTTTTGATCATGGATGTCTACGATCTCTTTCTCACGTTAGGTGGTATAATGAGGTAAGTAATGTCGACGTTAGGCGTAGTGTTGGGCAAAGAGGGAAAATCAATCGACGAGGCTATAAAGTTACATAGATTGAGATGGCTAGGTTGGTCAGGTGCTGCGCATGCCTAACCATCGCCTCCCCCGACGGGCATTACTAGCTGATATAGGTGCAGGTTGGAAAAGAGTAAGTGGTGGCCAAACAAAAACATGGCATCAATCTATGAAATCCTTGACAGTTAAACTGAGTCAGGTAGGGAGATGCAAACTTCTGGGTTGGGGCCCTCGGGACTGACTCTAGGAATCAATGGCTGGAGACAATAGGTGACATGGCTCAAAATCGTTGTCAATGGCGCAGATGTATTCAGTCCCTGTAATCTTCCATATTCCTTTCTACCATTACCCATTGTGTTTCACTCTTATACTTGTCAAACTCTATTGGTTCTCTTCACTCATCTTCTTGTCTACCTCTGTGTGCTATTTGGAACGTGGCAACTCGAACTGCTGCACTTCGGTGCCATGTATACGGCTACATTGATTTATTCGTATTTTTTCGATCCATCCGAAGCTGTTATTATTATGATTATCATAATATCTATGCATTTCAATTGTACCGATTGTCAAATTCAAAGTGCTCGTCATTAGTGTTTGGCATTCAATAAACGAAGTAAGATTTAAGGTGAAGATATGATACTTAAACCTCTAAACCATTATCTACTGGATATTGTAAATTTACCAATTGTTATTACATATATTTTTATCGTGAGTATTATAGAGGTTTCGTGTGCATGTCGGGTTGATCTCTGACGAAATCTCAGCACGGATATAAGGGGCTCGTTTCGCATTTTCCAGTTTACGCCGTCTCTGGCGTGGACGAGATATCCGTCTATCGACCAAAGGGCGGGTGTACTGCTCATCAGTCCGCTCCATCCTCCTTTATGGCTGTGAGACCTGGCCACTGAGAGTGGAAGACATGAAAAGATTAGCTGTCGTTGATCATAGGTGCCTGCGTTCTGTTTCCCGTGTGAAGTGGCATAATAAGGTGAGCAATATTGAGGTTAGGCGTCGAGTTCTAGGTAAACAGGGGAATCAATCGACGAAGTTGTAAAGTTACAAAGACTGAGATGATTAGGACATGTGTTACGTATGCCTAGTCATCGCCTTCCTTGACAACAGGCAATGTTAGCTGACATAGGGTCTGGCTGGAAGAAAGCTAGCGGCGGTCAAACAAAAATATGGCACCAGTCAATGAAATCTACAACAGTTAGTCTAAGACACGTAGGAAGGTGTAGACTTCCTGGTTGTGGTCCTCGGACGGTAAAAACAAATGGTTGGAAACAATTGGTGAAATGGCTCAAAATTGTTCTCAGTGGTGCAGATGCATCCACTCCTTGTGACTTATGGTCTCCAATGAAACTATAATGTTCTTCGTTACTACTCTTCCTTTGTCTCACACCTCTGTCTGTCTGTCTGTTTTCGACATAGAACTTTGCACAAATGTGCGGAAGTTCAAGTCGCCACATTCCGTGTAGCACGCGAAGCAAGAGAAGAAAGTACAAGAAAAGCAAATAGAAACAGTGAGCAGAGGTGTGAGACAAAGGAGTAATAAAGAAATACAAAACAGTTTCATTGGAGATCATAAGTCACAGGGAGTGGATGCATCTGCGCCACTGAGAACGATTTTGAGCCATGTCACCAATTGTTTCCAACCATAGATTTTTGCCGTCCCGAGGACCCCAGCCTGGAAGTCTACACCTTCCTACGTGGCTAAGACCAACTGTTGTGGATTTCATTGACTGATGCCAAGTTTTTGTTTGACCGCCGCTAGCTTTTTTCCAGCCTGACCCTATATCCGCTAACATTGCTCGTCGAGGGAGGCGATGGCTTGGCATACGTAACACATGTCCTAACCATCTCAGTCGATGTAGCTTCACGACTTCGTCGATTGATTTCCCCTGTTTACCTAGGACTCTACGCCTAACCTCCATGTTGCTCACCTTATTATGCCACTTTACACGGGATATAGAACGCAGGCACCTATGATCAAAGACAGCTAGTCTTTTCATGTCTTCCACTCTGAGTGGCCAGGTCTCACAACCATAAAGGAGGACGGAGCGGACTGATGAGCAGTACACCCGCCCTTTGGTCGATAGTCGAACATCTCGTCTACGCCAGAGTCGGCGTAAACTAACAAATGCGAAACGAGCCCCTTGTATTCGTGCTGAGATTTCGTCAGAGATCAGCCCGTTGGGGCTGATGGTACTTCCCAAATAAGTGAAGCGGTCAACGTGCTCTACCACTTCACTTCCTATTTCTAAACTAGGAGCCAGCGTAGTCCAGTCCTGTAACATCATCTTGCATTTGGCGGGAGCGAATCGCATGCCAAACATTCGTAGATTGCTGTTCAAGGTGTTTAGAAGACTCTGCATTTCGTCAGCGTCTTCGCCTAGAAGGACTATATCGTCTGCATATTCCAAGTCAACGAGATTATTCCCAGGTAGCAAGTCAATCCCTGAATCGCTGAAGTCACCTAGGGTTAAGTCCATTAACACATCTATGATGAAGTTGAATAGAAAAGGAGATAATGGGCATCCTTGACGGACACCACTGGTCGTCACCAGTTCAGATGACAGCTCGCCGTAAGCCCTCACCTGGCTGTATGAGTACGAATAGAGTGCCTTAATCAGTGCAATATATTTTCTCGGAATTCCCTTGACAGCCAAGCATCTCCAGAGAACTTCCCGATCGACAGAGTCGAATGCTGCCTTTAGGTCAAGAAATATAATGACTGTTGGACGCCGGTAGGAATGCCTATGTTCTAGAATCTGTCGGAGGGTGAAGATATGATCAATACACCCTCTTCCTGGTCTAAAGCCTGCCTGGCTCTCTCGTGTTTACTGTCTCTATTATGCTTTTCTTGTACTTTCTTCTCTTGGTTTGTGTGCCACATGGAGTATGGCGACTTGAACTGGCGCACATTTTTGCAAAGTTCTATGTCTAAAACAGACAGACAGACAGAGAAATTTTTATCGTAAGTATCTCTATCTGAAGTTTTCAATGTTTTGTTAGATAAATTTAGCTTGATGTAGCTATACTCCTTCATGGTGATAATTTTTTTCAAATCATTTATTTTCTAGATGATAAATTAAAACCTGCAATGAATCAGTTAGCTTCAGCTTTCCTCCAACATCTTGTTCAAAGGCGTTTATTTGAAAATTTGAATGTAATTTCCAACTCGAGTCGATAAGTTTTTTTAAATTTCAGACTGTCCTGCAAAAAGGTTTGGCCAGACATACTCCTTCACTGACAAAAATCTCTTTGACAGGAATATTCACCATTGCTATGAGGTTAGTGTTGTATGCACACAAATATCTTAAATTTTTGTTTTTTCCTTCACTTTCCCCAGTGGAACATAGGGCTTCAAGCTAGGGGCTTAAAGTTTCTGTAGCAGTGTTTATTTTACAGGATGGGGTTGCTAGCCTCATGCCGAAGCTTTCCTCTTCACCGGCATTATTTCTGGCTCAGCGAGGCAAAGGAGTGTGTCGGTGGCATGGGATCGAACCCCGGACGATGTGCATGATCGGCGAGCGTCCTAACCGCTATGCCACCGACGCATTTTTGTGAGTAGTTTCTGTAATTTATTCTCTGAAGCTGAAAGCAGTTCAACGCACAGCATAGACTTACATAGACTAACTTCTGTTCCTACGTCATCAAAGCAAAATGCTTTAAACATTCAGTTCTTTATAATACACTTTCAGTATGTTCAGAAAAACTGTATTTGTGTCACGTGAACCCAACTCTCGAAATTGTTGTCCGTATTTCCAGTTCAACAGTCCTGATTTCCAGTTTTGTTTAACCAAGTAATATTAAAGTTCCTGATGTCACTATCGTTAAGGGGTTAGTAGGTGACAATCTCCAAGTTGTGGTGTTACTTTTGTTACTCGACTGCAATCTAGACATTCGTTAAACTTGCTCTAAAAATTGCAGTACAATACAAAATAAATGTTAATACATAATGTGCTTACTCAGAAACAAGTTGTACGTGTTGAGTTTAATTCTTCCCTAGTGGTGGTTTGATGCACTTGATTATTGGGAACGCATAGAAACTCGGTGAATGTCTCCGCTTTATACGTTAAGCTGTTTTTCATTTAAGCAGCATGAAAAGCAATGTCTGTCAACTCTAGTTTATTTAGTCAATATCACTTCTGGCAAAATAGCCAATATAACTGCTACGAAACGATGCCAGTTTAGACATTGTATAATTTCTCTTCAAGTAGTCACCATTTGTGTAAATATCTCATTTCTCTACGACTGCACTGCCGCATCGTAAAGCTTAAGCGTTCGTAGAATTCTATTCTAACAGACAGTGAGTAGTTAATTTTAAAAGTGAATATCTTGTACTCACTATTGGTTAGTAGAGAACATTAGTAATTGTTTGTCCAGTGAATACTAATTTTTTACTCAGAGGTGAGTATTTCGGTGACTGTTATTGCTGTGGTTACCTAGTGGATAACCCTGTAGCGTTTAAAACGATAGGTACTAAGTTTCAGTCGCAGTGGGAACACTATCACTCACTGAGAATGCAAATAAATCCAGACGATGAGTTCGCAAAAGGACGAAATGCATATCTTAATACAGACCAGTAAACTGTTGGTCACCATGAAACATAGTATCCAGAAATTAATTCTATTTTGTTCATTTATTCTCAAACGTACATCATGATTTTATTATCACCTTCAAAATTACTAAAATTTGGCTAGATAGAACTTTTAGTGATTTATATTGTATTTTTATTATGCATAAGCTAAGCAAGCAATTGTCTTACACATGTACTATTCATTATTTTTCATTTTTTTTAAATCTACAATAGACCGTTGATATCTGAGAAGTTTCCTGAGAAACTAGTCATTTCATTTGCAAGTAATATCTTGACTGTACCTGGATTTATATTGCATATAAATTCAATGATGAATGAAGTAAGTACTGCATATTCATCACTGTGTGATTGTATATTTTTAAATTTATTTAGTTCTTTTACAGTGATGAGTATTTTTTGTTGGCTGTTTACAAGTCAGCTCTAAATTGTGTTATCTGAACTTCTTTTTCTCTACAACTCAGTCTTTTTTGTAATTTCCAAGTGTCGGTTTGCAGGATATGATCGGTTACAGGGTTTGGTCACTGACTGACATCAGTTGGAGAACCGTTAGAAAACCATGGAGTACTGGACAGTTGTTTTGTCCTCGTTTAGGACTCTTCAGTAGTAGGCACCCACTGAGGTTCGAGCCCAGGATCTTCCGGTTACAAATCGAGCTCATAGAACATTCAGCTACTGGGAATCGGGCCATTGACCGATGAATCCCAACTTCTACCATTGTATTGTGCAACCACCCTAACTCCCTTCTCTCCTCCCCCCTCTAGTCTCAGAGGTAGCGAACAGTGGTGTGTGAGCCCCTGGGGTGATATTTGTAGGATATATCCAAGCCACCAAAGCTAGCCAGTGTTTGACGATGACCTTTGATGTGTCCAAATACATTTTGCCGAACCTCAGAGTAGTTTACACGATGATGCCATCGGATTTAAGCAACCCTCCGGAGGTTTAGTAATTCACCATAGCATGCTATAAGGCAGAGGTATTTCTGCATATTTCATCTTTAAGGTATTACGTGGTGTGTAACGGAAGCAAAAGAGAAAGACAACTTTAAAACAGTTAGTTCCCTTTATGAATTTAGATAAAGCAATAAGAAGACATAATATGTCTGAATCGTGTAATGTATTTGCGCAACACATTTCGAACAATCTGATCACACACGGACTTGTCATAGGAATATATATGAAACTAATAGAGAGATAAGAGGTGAGAAAATAGACTACTTAGGTCAAGTTGAAAGGACATATTCAGGGTCAAAATAATATTGAAGACCACTAAACCAAATAGCAGAGGTATTGGTACATCTGCTATGGTATCAAAACAAAATTTACCAAGGAAGGTTTAATGTGATGACGAGTTCTTTTTGAACGCATAAAGGTGGCTTGAACTTTCTAATTGCTAGGGCTTCCACAAACTTTAGGATACGCCCCAAACACATTTTATAGATAGGTTTAAAAGATCTGTTAACATCAATTTTATGTCCTGTTTCTATAATATGTTTCGCAATAGAAGAGCTAGGTCTCCTGTTCTTACCGTTAATAGGTTCTGAAGAATCCATTTGTTTCCGGAGCCATTTAGGAATACGCTCTGAACAGTGAGAACAGGAGACCTAGCTCTTCTATTGCGAAACATATTATAGAAACAGGACATAAAATTGATGTTAACAGATCTTTTAAACCTATCTATAAAATGTGTTTGGGGCGTATCCTAAAGTTTGTGGAAGCCCTAGCAATTAGAAAGTTCAAGCCACCTTTATGCGTTCAAAAAGAACTCGTCATCACATTAAACCTTCCTTGGTAAATTTTGTTTTGATACCATAGCAGATGTACCAATACCTCTGCTATTTGGTTTAGTGGTCTTCAATATTATTTTGACCCTGAATATGTCCTTTCAACTTGACCTAAGTAGTCTATTTTCTCACCTCTTACCTCTCTATTAGTTTCATATATATTCCTATGACAAGTCCGTGTGTGATCAGATTGTTTGAAATGTGTTGCGCAAATACATTACACGATTCAGACAGAAAGACAACTGTCATTATTTATATGATAAAATTTTTACACTAAATCGAGGTACAATAAAAATCACTATACCTTATAGTCTGAGAAGACGAAGGTGATGAAGATAATCAACCGACAACAACAACAACAACAACAACAACAACCGGCATCAATACCATCAACGGGAGAGATTTAATAGAGGTTACCTCCTTCACTTATCTAGAAAGCATCGTTTCAACTACAGGCCCGTGGAACGGATGAAAATGTCAAAGTCAGTCAGAATAGGAAAGGCAAAATACGCCTACATCAACCTGAAACCAGTGTGGAAATCTTTTGACCTCTGCATAAGGAACAAGATTCTCAGTTTCAACCCCAATGTCAAGTTAGTCATTCTGTACGAGTCAGAAACTTGCACTGCGTGTCAGTCACGAAAAGAACTTCCTACAGACAGCTTCAGACTTTCATCAACAACTGCCTTCGCCGGCTCCATACTGAAGATCAAATGGCCAACCGGCCAGAAAAAAATTAGTAACAAGAAACTCTGGCAATGAACTAACCAACAGGCGAGAGCCGGTCACTCAACAAATATCTAGGAGAAAATGGAGGTGGATCGGGCATACATTGAGGGAACCGTCGAATGACATTGCGCATAATGCAGGCCAGAGGACGGCACAAAAAAACAGAACAAAGTGGAGATGTATTGTTTAAGCCCTCTGTTCCACTTGGAACCCAAGGGAATAAAAATAATATATAATATGATATAATAATACCTTATAGTCTAATGCGTATGAATGGTTAATTCTGATCTCTAGTTTTGGTTATATTTGACTAGTTCCATACTTAGTATTTAGAAAAAACAAACAAAACACTTTTATACCTTCTATAGGTTTTTATCTAAATGTTTTTGATATATATATAATCACCAGGCTTCATTCCCTTTCGTGTTTTTTTCTATCGCAGGCGTATGATATTATTGTTAAAGAAAGATTATGCTCCAGAATTATACTTACTTTGTATGCCAGTTCAGAAGAGTTTGATAACCTACTATCTCGTCTAGAAGGATCTTATGTATTATGTTTAATTGGTAAGATATATATATATATATATATATATATATATATGCATGTATACGTATTTTCCTTTAAGTTCCCAGTGGAACATAAGGCTAGTTCAGGCGTCGAGTGCTAGGTAAGGAGGGGAAATCAATCGACGAGGCTGTGAAATTACATCGACTGAGATGGTTAGGACATGTGTTACGCATACCTGCCTAGTCATCGCCTTCCTCGACAACAGGCAATGTTAGCTGACATAGGATCAGGCTGGAAAAGAGCTAGCGGTGGTCAAACCAAAACATGGCTGCATCATTCAATGAAATCCGCAACAGTTAGTTTAAGCCAACCAGCCACGTAGGAAGGTTGGGGTCCTCGGGACGGTAAACACCAATGGCTGGAAACAATTAGTAATATTGCTCAAAGTGATGGTTCTCAATGGCTGGCTGGCGCAGGTGCATCCACTCCTTGTGACTTATAATGTCCAATGAAACTATGTGGTTATTCGTTATTACTATCCCGTTTGTCTCATATCCATGTCTACTGTTTCTGTTATACATGTCTTCTACTTTCTCTTGCTTTGTGTGCTACATGGAGGGAATGTGGCGGTTTGAACTGCTGCACATCGGTGCAGACAGACAGACAGCCTCACGCTCAGCCTCGCCTCTTTATCGGGCTTACTGTCAGCTAAGCGACGTTTGGGAGTGCGTCGGTCAAGGATTGAACTTTGGACAGCGTTCATGGTTGGCGAGCAGTCTACCGCTGAAACACCGACGCTGGGAGAGACAGAGAGAGAGAGAGAGAATAGTGTTATATAAATGTGTCGAGGAGGTTTTAATTTTTTATTTCCTGACCGACCGGCTGACTAATTTCAACGGAGAGTTTTGCACAGATGTGCAACAGTTCGAGTTGTCACACTCACTCTTTGCAGCAGACAAAGCAACAGAAAAGAGTAAAGAGAGATTCAAAAGACAGAGAGAGAGTGTGTGAGTGAAGTAAAAGTAATAATAATATAAGAAGAAGAATAAAGTTTTATTGGATATGACAAATCACAAAGGGTGAGTGCATTTACGCCACTACTGAGAATAGGGATTTTGAGCCATATCACCAATTGTCTCCATCCAGCCACTGGTTCTTATCGTCCCGAGAATCCGAACCAGTCGTCGGTCAGTCAAGCAGTCTACACCTCCCTACGTGACTGACTAGCCGGCTGTCTGTCTGAAACTAACTGTTATGGATTTGATTGACTGATGAAGCCATGTTTCTGTTTGATCACCGGTAGCTTTCTCTTTTCCAACGTAATCTATCCTATGTCGGTCAGCTAACATTGTATGTTGTCGCGGAATGTTATGGGTAAGCAGGCATGTGTAACATACGTCTTAACCATTTCAATCTATGCAGTTACTTCACAATCTCGTTGATTGACTTCCCCTCCTTACCTAGTACTCGACCGAGGCCTCAACTCAATGACTACTCACTCTATTACACCTACCAGCTAACATGTGAGATAGAGGGTAGATACCTATGATCAAAGGCAGCTAGCACTTGCACTTTCAATGGCCATATCTTACAGCCAACCATAAGTGAGGACGAAGCGAACTAGTGAGTGCGGTACACATTGAGGTAGTGTGACATGTAGTGAGCATTCCTATACTTACCTTAAGTAGCCCTGTTTTGTAAAGTACAGTTCATGTAATAAAATATAGTGAAGGATGATTAGACTGTAACATGTATTTAGTTCATGAAGTCTCTGTTGATATTGGTATTTTATGGGCACCGAAAGGTGTTTTTGTCTCATAGTTTATGCGGGAGCTTGGATATTGCCCGGACGCCCAGGCCAAAATAGGTGGTTGTCTTGGCTTTCAAGTCTGATATACAAGTCGAGAGAGGGAGGGAGGGAGAGAGGTGGCAAAGTCAGAAGTCACGTTCCAACAGTTACCGGTGACCAAAACAGGTTCATACGCCAATCGACGTGTTCGGATTCTGGAAGTCATGTGCATCGGAGGTTTGGAATCAAGGTCTTCCCACTCCTTTATGTAGACCAGCATGGCTAACAGTGTGGTTGTAAACACCAGACGTTTGGATTCGTAATTCGACTTATGTGAAGGACACCCTTGCCGCCGCGTGACGGTAGCGAATAGGACTTAATTGCTAGGGGGAGGTTATCACCACCACCTCGTGGCGACGTTACAGCATTTCGAGAAGAATACCGATGTCTACCCATCCTCTGCTGTACCAAGTCTTCCATGGGACGGATATCAGGACATGAAGAATTGGGGGGTAGTGGGGGTGACTTAATGTTTTTCATGAAGGTGAAGATGTTTATCGTCTTTATTATTTTTTTCCGACAATTTCGATATTTGTGCAAATCAATTGATTATCCTATCTTCTGTCACATTTACTTTTGTCGGCTATGGTATTATAGTATTTCTGTTATGTGAGGGATTGTCCATTTGGATTGTAATACTGAAGTATGGTCATAGTAAATGTAAGGTATTGATTATGTTGTTGATATGCGTGGTTGAGAACGTTTTACTGTCGTCACTTTGTAACAACAGAAGATAAAGGCCAGGCAACAGATCGTTTATTAAGGAAATCAACACATATTTATAGATTTTCATGTACATATTATAGATTATTGTTAGCAGAAAAACCCAGTCCTCTGATTAGTTGTTTTTCACAGAAAGTTGACCTTGCATCTTCTTGTGGCTGTTTCTTGAATGTCAGATCACCTATATGTGTTAACTGTATCCGCCTACGCAAAGCCTTTGTTCTCATTTTTCTCACGACCAATATTGGGGACATAAACATGGACGTAAATTACTGTCCATCAATTTTGACTAACAGCCATCTCTCATCACAACTTAAGTGTAGCGAATCAGTCTAAGCACATCAAGCATAGTAGAGAACTTAACAATATCTGTATGTGATGTCCTTTGCTTAAGAAAATATGCGCGTAACGATGCTTCCTTGATTCGTAAAATTTTTCCGAATGTCATTGGATAACTGAGTTACTGTTCTATTTCTACGAATTCTCTCTCTCCCTCTCTCCTATGGTTCGCTGATGTTGATTTAAAGTAAACATGTCACACCCAACTCTTATTCATTTTTTCTCAAAAGAGGTCATCATTCATGTAGTCATTTATCAATTCGCTTAATTTCTTCTCTGAGTTCAAATGGGGGTGGGGTGGGGGCGAGTCTCTGCTATGGGTGGTGAAAATGGTTAGCACACACACACGCACGCAAATCATTTTTCACTTTCCCAGGTTAACTAGAAGCGAATCATTTACACTTATCGTAGGACAATTTGTTTAATATATCTTTCTGCAGAGATATATGCTTATCAGCATTTCTTCTTTAAAGGGGGAATAATGTGGATATTTTTCTCAAAATTGTATTTGCTTAATTTCTTTCTTCTGAGCTAACAGCTTATCTCTCAAAATAATTACAATCAGTTTGATAAAAAACTCGGGTCTCTGTGATTACAGTACTCTTACAAAAATTTACCAACCGAACTAGGATGCCTATTACAGACTAAAAGTCTCTTCACCTGGTGGTTGTTTTGTGGTCGTTCACCTTCATTCACCGTTTTCATTACACACTAGCTGTCCGATCAAAAATCAAGTGGAATTAGAAAAAGAAGCCGCTGTAGTTCATATTCCAGATATAGGCTAGCACACGTGTCACACCTGCCAAGCCACAATCTTCCTTTAACAGCGATGTTATCTGTTATAGAATTAGTTCGGAAAGTAGTTTACGGGCGTGGTCGAACTGTAACATAATATCATTCCACGGAGTCTTTGACCGTTTGTCTGATCTAACCACATACACAGAGAGAGAGAGAGAGGTGTAGACTACCTGGCTTCAGTATTGTAGACGCTAAGAACCAATGGTTAGAGACTGTTAGGGATATGACTGACTCTAAGTCGTTTTCAGTGGCGCTGATGCATTTGCTCTTTGCAATCGCCCATACCCATCAAGTCTTTATGTTTCTACACGTTATTATCTTTTCGCCTGTACATTTCTCCTCATTATAGTTCGTTGAAACTTCTATATGTGTAAAACTTGGGCACTGTGGTAGTGAGTAATTCCATATTAGTTTGTTTATTAGATGTATCACACAGTGAGTGGAACAGTATTATTTACCGGATTACAAGGTTTCGAACACAATTTATTGTTCACAATCATATCATCAATTGTAATCACACGACTTCGAAACTTGAGTTTTATAGTTTTCTTTGTCCTCTCCTATTTGTCGTAGGAGTAGTAGAAGTTTCCAGATATCTGGGACAGGCGTTGCGTCATTCCTGTTACACGTATTTGGAGTTGATTTGATAAACAAAACTTCTGTTATCAATCTCTCCCTCCACCTTGTGACATTAGATTTCAAAACTGTCATCCTATGCCATCCTATTGTGTGGTTGTGTGTAACTGCATGTAGTGAGTGTTATAGCTGAACTATTCTGTGGGTTTCTTATCTTATTCGGGTCAACCAATCTAGATTTAGCTAGGTTTTTATGTTCGCCTAGTCTGACTGCCCCTGTTCTACTAATACTTTGACCTATTTATTTCACCTGACATTCATTTCAGGCTGGGTATTAGATAAACTAAATTGTTTTGTTTTCTTGGCTCGACAGGATCCTCTAACCGACAAAGCTTGTTTCTAATTGAGTTTGTTGGTGGTTTGAATTCCAGCTACTTTTTTTCCTGCCTTGTTAAGAATTCTGCATAAGGTGGTTTCCGAGGTTCCTTCCTTGTATGGAATTGCTACTTATGATTTAGATTCCATATTGTTGGTGTTGTCTTGCGCATATTTGACATGCACGTCATCACTAACTTTATTATCACTATCACTAGTATCATTATTTATATTATTTTTATTTTTACATTTCCTTACATATTTCCTGACCAATTTATCCGGGTAATTATTACGTTTCAAGGCTTCTTTTATGTGTATCACTTCCTGTCTTATATTTTCCTTGGTACTACTTAGTTTCGTGCTCTATTACTCAAACATTTCACCAATCCTATTTTTACTGACATAGGATGGGATGATCAGAAGTCCAAATATCTGTTTGAACTTGTGGGTTTCCTGTAAACACTAGTGTTTAACTTCCCATCTTCTTTCCTTTTTACACTGCAATCTAACATTGGAAACTCCCCTTCCTGATTTTCCAATTCATAAACGAATTGAATTGCCTCCGCCCTTGAGTTAATGTGTTCGAAAAATCTATCTGTATCTTGTGTTCTAAATACGGTGAATGTGTCATCTACATACCTCCACCATACTTTTGGGGTGGGGTTGAACGTTTCAATCGCTATCTTTTCCCACCTATCCATAAATATGTCTGCTACAACCGGGGATATTGGTGATTCGATGGCAACTCCGGTTCGTTTGTATATTTTCCCTTGGAATTTAAATACTGTGGAAGTCAGGCATAACTGTACTCCCAGCATTATGTCCTCAAATTGTACTTTCGTTCTAAGTTCAAGTTCTTGGTCAGAAATGAGTTCGTTTCTGACTGCTTCTATAGCCATATTTATTGGTATACGTGTATATAAAAAAGGCAATGTCAAAACTTCTTTTTGCTCTCTCTTCTCTACCTTTGTGTGCTACATATAGTGTGGTAACTTGAACTCTTGTGCACTTCAGTGCAAAATTTTATGTTGAAATACAGTCAGTTTACAGATAATGTTAGTTTGATAGTAATTGGGGTTAATTCAAAGAGGTTGGGTAAACGTAATTGAAATAAAGCGAAAATTACTACTTTGTATTCAGTGGCAGTTCAGATTTTTGCTTTAATTTCAGTCACCATCTTTGTACAGTAACCTCTGACTCTCAGCCGAAGTCTACTTCAGTTGTGGTGAGAGCTGTCTGCTAGCGAAAATTAGTAGACAGCAATTTACGTCCTAAATCTTGGTCATGAGGAAAAAACAAGATCAAAGCCTAGATTTGAGGAAATCAACAACCAATCACAGCAGACTTAGCGTGGGCGGGTACGATTCTCAGATATATGGCCTTACCTTGAAGAAACGGACACACAGGGATGATAGAATAACTTCCAGCGAGAAAACAACCAATCAGAATACGCTGTTTCTTTGCGAATAACAACGAATAATGGTAATGACGAGTCCCAAATAGGACGTAATGCGCATCCTGGATTCCACTGTTGGTTACCATCCACCAGCGGACTTCTAATGTACATAAAAATCTTTAAATATCTGTTGATTTCCTCAATAAACGATTTGTTGCCTGACCGTTGTCTTCTTTGGTTGCACAGTTACTTTGTTGGATGAAATCAGTATCAAAGCTTTATGACTAAGTGGTGAACTTCTTTATTTTGAAGTCCTTTTCCTAATTTTAAAAAAATGTCATAAGACTTATCTTTCTGATGTTAGTTCTATTCGTTTTCTTCTTTTTTTCTCTCTCCAGCAAATCTAATTCAATTGAGTCTGCTAGAAACTGATATTTTGGCATCGCATTGTACAGAATTTTGCGTAAGTTAGTGATGGTTGATGAGTTGTTTTGTCTGCCTTCAAAAAATTAGTGGTGTGTGTATGTATATACTCCGAGCCAGCCCCACATCTAATCGTCTTCTTGATTTTCTGTCCAGCAGGCTACGTCTCCACTCTGTTGAGATTCAGATGAAGTTCTTAATTGGTTTTTAGTGTGTCTCTCTCTTAGGTGAAACACATGTCGCCTTGTATATATCTTTGTGATTTTATACACGCTACTTCCGATTCCAAGATCATTGAATATACAGTAGCCTGAAAGGAGTCCTCCGAGAGCTTCTCAACCCGTGATAATTCCCCGTGTTGTCTCCTCCTCCTAGTCTGACTGGCATTTCTATTATCCATTAGTATTTTGATTTCCCCATTTGGTGTTACTGTCTGTTACTGTTTGTAGTTGTCTGTAGAAGTCTTTGTCTTTCTCCAGGGGTCTGTGTAGTTTGTAGGAGCGTAGCACTGGATAATTGTAAATTTCCTTTCTTTTAAGTTAAATCTAACTGTCATGATCCTTGGGGGAGACTGGTATCCACTGTATAAAGAGAGTCGTCGATGCATCAGGAGAAGCATTTTCAACAGTTGTCTTCTTTTTATACCGATGGTCAGATAGGATTGACAACAAACCAACCATGAACCTGTGGTCCAATAGATGGAGATGGATTAGACATGTACTGAGGAGACAGTTGAGTGACATCACGTACCAGGCCCTCGAGTGGAACCTAGAGTTTGACTGAGGGTCATATAGTAGAGATCGTGTGAGTGGGAAATGAAAGCTTTATAGTCAATCATGGAACTAGTTAAAAATGACTGTAGAGAACAAAGTGAAATGGAAATATGTGCTGCTAAAGCCGTATGTTGAACCCGTAAACCAAGGGAAATATTCATAATAATATGTTCATAAAGCCCGACTGATAGCTGCTACCTTGGCGTGGTGGTCGCCCGGCTTGCACATCGCGATGACCCAACAAGCTGCACTAGGTGGGACCAATGTTCCTGCTGCTCCTACCATGCTAGGTTGGTTGTTAGGATAGCGATTAGACAAATGCAGTTACTGGAATAGTGTAAGAATCTTTATTGCACTATGCTGCGGGTCTGTGGGCGAAGTTGTACTGCTGGGGAACAGGGGTGTAATAGCAGTGAGGTGTTTCCCCAGATGACCAGCATGCCCGCCAGCTATGCTGTCCTCCCACTCTGGAGAGAGGGGGTTAGAAAAGTCGACCCCGAAAATTGTACATCCCGACTCACCCCACCTACGGTGGTCCGTAACTGGCGGTAAGTTTACTAATACGGAATCAAACCAAGAAACCAGTTCATACAGGCCGTGTGTTACCGGTCGACGTTAAGCAGTTTTCCCTGGGCTGTGCGGTCAAGCAACACTAACCCTCTTTATGTTTCAGGTATCCGATGAATCTATCATCTTCCACGGTGTGGGCAGCCGGGAAGTAACAACCGCTCACACACTTCCGAAAGCACACGAAACCTTCCTGACAGATGTTCATAAAGAATGGATGCATCTGCACCATTGAGAACGATTGATTTTATTCCATGTCACCAACAACAGTCTTTAGCCATTGATTCTCAGTGTCTCAATGACTCCAGCTAGTGATCTCTTATGCACAGTTTAGACGTGTTGAGTATTCACCTATGCAATCGGACGGCTCACGTCATTATTCGATTTGTTATAACAGCTAATGATTGCGAAAGATTTGGATAAGGTTTACCTTAGCTGCACCGGCATCTTATAGAGCTATTCAAGTTTTCAACAGAAACCGAATTCAGTAATGAAACTTCACTATTTTTCAATTTTTATTTACATAGATTGTTCTATCTAAATTCATGCATTATTTGGGAACGTATGTTGGCAGTAAAAAGTCAAATCTTTGTAGCTGGCATCCGATTCTTGGTTGGTTTGCCCAATCATTAGATAATTCGTAAGTTCTTCCATGTTTTAAATCATTGAATTATTTTCCATTGATTTATTATTTACTGTATCAGTTGATAAACCAGGCACGTAAGCGTCAACAACATAGTAGTGGAGAAATACTTGTATCTCAGGTTGCTGATATTCCAGTTGAGTTATTCTTAGAAATCCTCCATGCAATCAAACAAAATCCTTACAAAACCAATACCTGAAAAGTAATCTGATGTCCACTAGTGACTGGCCCTATTCAGACAGTTAACTTGGGTTTCTAGTGGGAAGCCGTGACCAGTAGGGTACAGCAGGTTGAAGGTGAGGCAGTAACTCATCGAAGAAGACATTGCGAAATGGTCGCGCCATGTCGTAAATTGGTAGGAGTTAGAATTCATGGGCTGGCCATTGGATCGAGTCCCAGTGACTTAATGGTCTACGAGCTCGCCAGCCTTGTAACCAGAAGGTCCTGGGTTCGAACCCTGTCTGTGGGTGCGTACTACTGAAGAGTCCGAAACTGGGAGGACAGAAACAGCTGTCCAGTACTCCCAACTGGTTTTCCAGTGGTTCTCTAACTGATGTCAGTTCATGATAAAATCCTCCGTGCAGTCAAACAAAATCACTACAAAACCAATGCTTGAATCCTAGAAATAAATTTAATCTAGATACCTAAATAAATCACTAACTAATTTTGGTTGGAAAGATTATTTTGGAAGAACATTTTATGCCAGGAAGATTAATTAGTCCGATAGTGAAAAGACTGAAAGTAGGGTAAACTACTTACACTTCATTGGTGGGGGGGAGGGGTTGGGGCTGGCGTCTGAGGATGACGGATTAAATGAAAATGAAAGTTTCAGACGATGAGTGATTGTTTTCTACAACAATACTCAAATAATTGATTAATTTCCATTAGGAAAACACAAAGTTCAGCGAAGAGACGCTTCTCAACGCATGGTTTCTTTTTAGAAATTAAATCCTGTGAGGAAATTTAAACAAAGATATGAATAGATTACAGGATTTCACCATGAGATGACATCGGTTAGAGAAATATTGGAAAACCAGTTGGGAGTACTGGACAGCTATTTCGTTCTAGTTTGGGACACTTCAGTATTGTGCACCCACCAGGGTTCGAACTCAGGACTTTCCACGTACAAGGCGGGCTTGCAGACTGTTCAGCCGCTGGGACCCGATCCAATGGCCAGTTCATGAATTCCAAAATCCTACAATTTCCAAGTTGGAATTATGTGAACGGTCTGCGAGCTCGCCTTGTAATCGGAAGGCCCTGGGTTCGAACACTGGAGGTGGCTGCGTACTGATAAAGAGTCTCAGACTGGATTGAAACATCTGTCCAGTAGTATTCCCTGGGAGGTTTCCAATGGTTCATTAATCAATGTCATCTCATAATAAAATCCTGTAAGGCACTTACTTATTGCCGGATACTGTCTACTGTGCTATGGTGCGCTCTATCTCTGGCTTCATGCTCGTGAAACATCGTTATTCAAGTTAATCGGATCTATGAAAACTTTTGGTATCTCACGAATGTTACTTATCACGTGAGTAATTTGATAGTTAGACATATAGTTTTACGTGAGGGGGTGGTACATAGGTCAATCTAGGGAAGTTATAAATCTCTATTGTCTGTTGTAATGTTTGGATTGCGTGTTACACATGCCTGCACCAATCTCCCCCAACGTGACTTTAACAGAAATAAATAGAACTAGGTTAAAAAAAGAAAGAAACTAAGGATGCGTTAAATCAAGATATCACACCAACCAACTTATGTCATCATTGACTTGTAAGTTTGAGGGAAGTAGGGAAATATACAGGTATGCTTGCATCGTATAGATTGCATGCATGTGATTACCAGAACTGGTGCTTCTTTCAACCTGAATGACGTATTTGCTTTCTCGATAGAGTTACGAAATTCATGGATAATCCCCATCCAGGCATTAATGAAAACAAAACACTTAGTTCAGCGAAGAGTCTCTTTTCGGTGAATTCATTTTCTCTTGTACAGGGTGCGCGTCGAACAACCGATGTACCTGGCTCCACAGCAGCAGGTGAATCGAACTGATATATGCACATAGAGGTGGTCAGATGCGGGATCTTGTCCTTGAGGCTTCTGCAGATCAATCGGTGACTGCAAAGAATGTTCTTCTCAGAGATGATGTGATCCTTTTCTTGAGAATACCGCTTGCTAGATCTCCCTTAAAATCCAAGTCCATGTAGAGTTTCTTTTTAGGCGCAAGTGAAGTTTCATATCTCCGAATTCTTGGGTTGATATTTTAGTCAATGAATCTTATAGGGTATCCATTTTGGATGAAGATTCCTCTCAGAATATCTAATTCTGTTTCTAGAAAATCGGAACTACAGATGCGTCGGATGTGGATGACAAATGATTTAATTAAATTCCGCTTTTGTTGAATGGGTACCCACCCAGCTATAGAAGTTTGTTAGTTGACCATTCCACGTAGTTTTTCTATGGATCGATCTTCTTAGGCTCCCATCAGTTCTTCTCGTTAGTTTCACATCAAGAAACGGAATTTTTGATTCGTTTTCATTTCATTGCTGTCACAAATAATGAATATGTCGTCTACGTATCTTTTATACAGTCGTAAATTGTCTATGCTCGGCTTTAGTGGACCTTTCTCGAGGCTTGCCACGAAGCAATCTGATAGTAATATGGATCCAACGGAGATCCTATTTCAGTACTATCTTTTTGTCTGTAGATGGTGTCGTTGAATGTGAACTGGACGTTCAGAGTGCATCTCAGTAGTAATTCTTTCAAATATGTTGTTGGTATTCCAATATTGAGGTGGTTGTCATCTATATATTTGCATATGAAGCAGACCGTTTCCGTGAGTGGGATATCGGTGAAAAGTGACTCAATGTCGAAAGACAGCATAACTTTTGTTAGATACAGCAGTCGATGAACTGGAAGGTTTCACGAAACGAGTGCGTACATAATTGTTCCCTTACAGGTTCCAAAATAATATCTGCTAGCCATTTTGCAAAAGAAGAAGAAAAATATTAAATCCAGTACCGGTTATAAGGAGTATATATGGATTGGTACTATTGAGTGACATATATATTCACCTTATTTAAAGCAATCTGATTGATGCTTAGTGTTTCTTTCCTTTTCACTTTTCTTATATTAATTTGTATTCAGTTTACAAGCAGCTATGTCATTTGTAACTAGTCAGCTAAGATTACTATGGAATGGTCGAATGGTTCGTTTGCTATTCGCCGACTTATATGCACAAGCTGAATTAAGTCTACCTGAAGGCAGTGGTGGTGGTGGTGGTGGTGGACCAGATGGAAATTCCTCGACTACTACCGCTGGTCATCCACCGGGTGCAAGTAGCTCAAGTTCTGCTGTTCTTGGTCCTGGTGCACCGTCTAAGGCAGAGAAACTTGCTGTAGCTGGTTTGCTGCCTCCTCAATCACGATTGATGATGACGACTGGTGGCAGTGGCAGTGGCAGTAGCGGCGGTAGATTGAGCAATTCTGATGTTGATGGTTATGCCCATCGTGTTCGTCATGGTCTGTCGAATTTTCTACGTCAGATAACTAACTCATCAACTTATCGTAATCGATTTAAAAATAGTAAAAAGGAGAGAATGAATAATTATATACCGAATCTTTCTACGACACGTTCAGATTGTCCTGGACCAAGTGATCTACCGAAATCACTGAAAGCTGTTTGTATGCTGTATTGTTTTACTTCAGGCAGTTTAAAAGAAATTAGAAGTGCTATTTTAGCTGGTAGGTTAATCTAATTCCGATTTTTTTTCTATTTTGAAAAGTTTTTTGTTTTATTGTGATCACACTTCATTGTCAGCTACACAAGGTCTTAGACTTGAAGTTCACCTTATACCTTATACTTCAGCGTGGGCGACTGCACACTCCAATAAAAATTAGCTCTCATATGTGTTCGTTCATGTACAGAAAAGTTTTAAGATATATGCAAATTTTACATGATGTCAGTTGACAGGAGGTTCCAAACTTGATGAACAGTGCTCAGAAAATTACGCTTATATATTTTTTCACACAGAGTTCAATGCTAAACAAAGTAAATGTATGGAAACAACGGTGAAGGCGTTATGTAATAAAGACGAAAGGTGCGTAAGATGAAGAGTGATTGATAAATTGAGTAACAGTTTATTGTGATTTTGGAAGTGTGTGGGCGATTGTTACTTCCCGGCTGCCCACACCGTGGAAGTTGATGGATTCTTCGTGTACCTGAAACAGGAATATTGTGTGGCCGCAGAGCCCAGGGGAAAACTGCTTAACGTCGACCGGTCACACACGGCCTGTATGAATTGGTTTCTTTGTTTGGTTCCGTATTAGTAAACTTACCGCCTGTTACGGACCACCGTAGGTGGGGTGAGTCGGGATGTACAATATTTGGGGTTGCCTTTTTCTAACCCCCTCTCTCCAGAATGAAGACATAGCATAACTGGCGGGCATGTTGGTCATCTGGGGGAAACACCTCACTGCTATTACACCCTGTTCCCCAACAGTACAACTTCGCCCACAGACCCGCAGCATAGTGTAAGAAAGATTTTTTCACTATGACGGTAACTGCTTTTAGTCTTATCGCTATCCTAACAACCAACCTAGCATGGTAGGAGCTGCAGGAACATTGGTTCCAGCTAGTATAGGTTGGTGGATCATCGCGATGTGCAAGCCGGGTGACCACGACGTCAAGGTAGGGCTCTGGAAAGAGCTAGCGGCGGTCAAACCAAAACATGGCTACACCGGTCAATGAAATCTGCAGCAGTTAGTTTAAGCCACGTAGGAAGGTGTAGACTGGTTGGGGTCCCTGGGACGGTAAAAACCAATGAGGGCTGGAAACAATTGGTGACATGGCTCAAAATCGTTCCCAATGGCTGGCTGGTGCAGATGCATCCACTCCTTGTGACTTATGGTCTCCAATGAAACTATATTGTTCTTCGTTATTACTATTCCTTTGTCTCACACCTCTGTTTACTGTCTCTATTATGCATTTATTCTACTTTCTTCTTTTGGTTTGTGTGCTACAAGGAGTGGAGTGTGGCAGCTTGAACTGTTGCACATCGGTGGAAGGTTCAATGTCGAAAATAGACAGACAATGTACTAAATTCAATTGAATTCAGAGCAACAAAAGACAAGCAAAATTATGCTGTATCAAAGGGTGGTGGGGGTGAGGTTAAAGCCAAAGATTACGTAATTAAATGAGAGGGAATAAGGGTATCAAGTAACTAGGGCAAGGAAAGACAATTTTTTGTCTGTTTTTTTAAGTATTGGTTTTGTAGGGATTTTGTTTGATTGGTTAGAGGACTTCATCATCAAGTGACATCAGTTAGAGAACCATTGGTAAACCAGCTGGGAGTACTGACCAGGTGTTTTATCCTAGTTTGTGAGTCTTCATAAGTACACACCCACCACCAGGGTTCGAAACTAAGACCTTCTGTCTACAAGGCTAGCGAGCTCGTAGGTCATTAAGCCATTGGGACTCTATCCAATGACCCTCTCTCTCCTTGCCTTCAACCTGCTGTACCCTAGTGGTCACAGCTACTTAGGTTTTCCGATGGTTTTCTAAGCGATGTCAGCTCATGATGAAATCCTCCAACCTCACTACAAATAGCGAATAAGAACTGCTATTAACAATCTTGTAATACTATCCTTATAATTGTTTTTATTGCTATTCGAGTTAAATTCAATGCAATAGTATAACAAATGCTTAAAATTATGTTTCTCTTTTAAATATCATTTTATATAAATAATTAATTACCATAGGTTTATCACTGGGTGACTTATTGCCTCGTATGTGGCGTTTAATATCTTGTTGTGGATCTGTACGTGATTGGGCCAATGTGATTATGAATTCACAGTCGGTCTACTACTTGGAACCTCATGAATCGCATTTAATGCAAATATTTGCTGCAGCTACAAGTAATTTATTAAGGTGAGATACTTTCTATGTATTTTTTTTAAAATTTCATTTAGTATATTTACTGACCACTGAAATAGTATTGTATCTTTGTGGTTATTACTTGTGAAATATATCGGCCATTGCAGATTTGATAATAATAATAATAATAATAAATCAATTTATTCCAAAACAGACAGTACTTATAATACAGAATGGAATGCTCAGCATTTGTCACAATATTGCATCTGATTTACTTAAAATGTAAATAAAATTAAAAATTAAAACAAAAGTAACCAGAGGAATTTGTCCACGTTTACGATATAAAGTCAAAAATATTCGAGTCACGAACTCAGATTATTAAATATAATAATAATAATAATAATAATAATAATAATAATAATAACAGTGAGTTTGTTTCAAATAGTATTGTCGATTCAGTCACTATGGTAACTTTAGCATGTTATAGAGTATTGAATCTAATGTTCTCTGTTGATATAGTATAGTGAGGGGAAAGACAAAATTAACAGTTATAACACGGGTTAAATGATGTTCACACTTATGAAAAAATAAACAGATAAAAACAAAAAATTGAGAGGACTATGAATATAAGAGATAGAATAACAATAAATTTTGATTGTGTAAGGGTGGAGGAAATCGTTTATTTAGTAGTGCGAAGAAGGTTAGTTAGTTCATGCCTAACACCATTTTCATCACATAAAGTACGTGCCAATTATGGTATAGTGGAATTTTCATACCTAGACGTATGTGCATAAAGTCTCTTGATGAAATGACTTCTTGTTTTACCTGAGGAGACACAAGTTGGAGCTGCGGGTAGTCCTTTCTTTGGTGCAGACTGAATTCTATCAATCAAGTTTACAGTGGTGCGGGGGGGGAATCTCAGAAGGGAGATGAGTTCCTTCAAGGTTGCAGATACTTCTTGCTGACGAGTGCCATCCTAAGTCCAAGGCTTCCTGTCGATCGCCTTCAACCGTCTAATATCACACTGAAGTGTTTTTATCTGCTTGTATATTATTAATCTCCCTGCAATAGACAGGGAGATTGACTGTTGAGTAAATATTTCAGATTGTGGAAAACACCCATATGGACATTAGAAAGAAGAGAACACGAAGTTCATCAAATATATCTTTTCGGCGATTTCATTTTTAAAAGCAGCTCTACAATCGCATTCCTGTTTGATTCCACAAAATTATGATGGCGAATAAAAGGTGATAAGTATTTCCAACTAGGTATAGTCTTTTTCGAGAGGCTTAGGAACAAAATTACACACAAGATTAGAACGGATAACAAGTGTGTAAAATTAATGAGCATGGAAACAAAAATTGAAACAATAATTTTCAACTTGAAATGGAAGTTAGGAGGTGTGAATAAAGATTACAAGAGCCTTAGAAACACAAAAATTGCACAGAATTAGAATAGTTAATTTTTCAACGAATTATAAATGTAAACCAGGAAAAGCATGGAAACAAACTTAAAATAACAGTTTTTATAACTGAAAAAAATTAGGTGAATTTAATGAAGACTGAGGGACTAAGGATCAGACACACGGGGAATCACAAAATGCTCAAAAGGAAAAGCGAGAACGAAAAAAGACGAGGAAGAGAAAAAAATGGAAGCTAAGGGGACATACAGAACTAGGTCGTCCATGGTAGTTGTAGAGGTTGGACTAATTTCTTTTGAACACACAGCTCCGGCTTCTCGATGCATATTGCGAGGACTTCTGCAGTACGGAGAAGTCGAAAACATACTGCTTTTGGTAGGTTTCTGTTGACTTTGTAAATCACTTTGAAAGAATCAGTTGAGATATTGTGAGAGGTGTTGATCAGATGTTCAATAATATGGCACTTCTGATTGAACCGGTGCCTCCTAATTGCAGCCACGCTGTTAAAGAACATTACTCAGTCTTCATTCGATTCAACCCATTTTGTCAGTTATCAAAACAGTTATTTTAAGTTTGTTTCCATGCTTTCCCTGGTTTACATTTATAATTCGTTGAAAAATTAACTATTCTAATTCTGTGCAATTTTTGTGTTTCTAAGGCTCTTGTAATCTTTATTCACACCTCCTAACTTCCATTTCAAGTTGAAAATTATTATTTCAATTTGTGTTTCCATGCTCATTAATTTTACACACTTGTTATCCGTTCTAATCTTGTGTGTAATTTTGTTCCTAAGCCTCTCGAAAAAAACCATATCTAGTTGGAAATAATTATCACTTTTTATTCGCCATCATAATTATGTGGAATCGAACAGGAATGCGATTGTAGAGCTGCTTTTAAAAATGAAATCGCCGAAAAGATATATTTGATGAACTTCATGTTCTCTTCTTTCTAAATATTTGAATCAAGTGATACTCATTACTGCTTATGTATATATCAATCTCTGTGTGGCTACACTGCACTACTGGTTAGTGTTAGTAGTATTAGTAGGGAGTGGTTTCCAATAACTTATAGCATGTAGATAAGTTTACTTCTTTGCTTTCATTCGCCTTCATTTCTCTCTTCACATTGTTCATGCAGTGGTTCTGTGAATTTTATTGATAACTTAGTTACAGGATTTCATTATGAGCTGACATTGGTTAGAGAACCATTGGAATTACTGGACAGCTATTTCGTCCTGGTTAGGGACTCTTCATCAGTACGCACCCACCACGAGGATTCGAACCCAGGACCTACTGGTTACAAGGCGAGCTCGGGTGTGTTGACGAATACTCGCCGAAGACATTGGTTAGCGGTTGCGCTATATCGTGAATTGGCAGAAGTTAGAGTTCATAGGCCATTGGGTTCGAATCTTGGTGGTGGGTGCGTACTGATAAAGAGTTCCAAACTAGGACGAAATATCTGGCTGTTCAGTACTCCCAGCTGGTGTTCCAATGGTTATCTAACCAATGTCAGCTCATGATGAAATCCTGTAATCAATCAACCAAATCCCTACAAAGCACTACTTGATAGCTTAGTGTTTTTTACTTTTCTCCGTTAGATAATGAAGTTTCCAAAAAATAGAGTTACAATTTAGAATATTTGAGCTACATTATTATTATTTGTTTACGTCATTTTCACTGTAGCCTAATTCCTCTTGCCGTCTAAATATGCTAGGAATGATTGCTTTTCTCTGGCGTGGGGATCGTGTGGGAAACAACACAACATTAAACTGAATGAAAAATATTTATTTTTATAACAAGCCAACTTTTAATCGATAGCCTTAAACTTATTGTATAACACAGTGAATAGCAATCTAATGGATGGGTGATAAAAGTGTAATTGCCCAAGGATATCTAAAGACACATTGTAAGAGAGAGAGAGAGAGAGAGCCAGAGAGCTTAAGTGGTTTAACAATAGCAATATAGCAGTAATAGATGCATAGTCTTTGAAATATTATTTACACTGAGATTAGACATGACTTTTCGATTGAGCACTAGTAACTAGTGTAGTGTGTGTCTAGTCCTTTGCTTGGTGCAGCCTGAATTCTATCAGTCAGTCAGGTTTGCAATGTGGCCACCATTCTAGGTTACTCGCCAACACGGTGCGCATTGATTTGATGATATTAGATGATGGTTGGAGGAAATCGGCCACAGGAAGCCTTGGACCTAGGTGGTAGACCTAGAATACTGGCCACATTGCAAAACCTGACTGATAGAATTCAGTCTGCACTAAGCAAAGGACTAGACACGCCACACTAGTTACTATTGTCAAATCAAAATACCTACTACCGTCTTACAGGGAGGTCAATCGCGAGCCATCCCGAATAGCTCAGTGGTAACGTCTCTGACTGCAGCATTCACTGGGTGACGCGGGTTCGAATCTCAATAGGGGCATGAGTTCCTTCAAGGCAGTTGCAGATACGCCTTGCTGACGACTGGTGAGTGCCAACTAGCACGAAACCTAGGTCCAAGGCTTCCTGTGGCCACTTGCCTCCAACTATCTAATGTCATCAAATTAGACGTGACTAGTAGATAAACACTTCAGGTAGCAGTAATTATGTTTATATTTATTATAAGCATTTTATGCAACTAACCCATTTCATTGTTATCGGTCTGTTAATCCAATACTATCTCTTATAGTCTCGTGTACTAATAAATAACCTGCTTCTCTCTCAATGTTGTTATGTGATTAGAATTGATAGCAGAAAATGCCTATAGCAGTTGGAGCTAATGTTCCAGCAGGTCCTACCATGCTATAAACGTCAGTTGGATAGCAGTTAGACTAAACGCAATTACCATCTGCAGGCGAAGTCGTACTGTTAGCGAGTAGAGGTGTCACAGGCGGGAAAGTGTTTCCCACAGATGACTAGCATGATAGACATGCTACCTCTCTTCTCTGAAGAGCGGTGGCGAGTGGGCTTAGAAAAGTTCAAAAATTCTACATCCTGAATTACATTGTGTCTGTTCATGGTCGGCAGTAATGTCTTACTACGCGCATAACTCCAAAAGAGAAACCCAATTCAGTTAGGCCGGATCCCACTGATCACTGATCAAGGCACTCTACTCGAAGTCATGCAGCCAGGTGAGGTCTTACAGCGAGTTGTCATCTGAAATGGTGTCCGACAAGAATGCCAGCCCATTATCGCCGTTTCTATTCAATTTCATCATAGATGTGTATGCCAATGGACTTAATCCTAACTCACTTCAGAGACTCAGGGATTGACTTGCTACCATGGACTAATCTCGTTGACTTAGAATATGCAGATGATATAGTCCTTCTAGGCGAGGACACTGACAAAATACAGAGTCTTCTAAACACCTTGAGCTGAGCATCAATCTTCGAACGTTTGGCATGCGATTCGCTCCGCCAAATGTAAGATGATGTTACAGAACTGGACTACACTGACTCCTAGTTTAGAAATAGGAAGTGAAGTGGTCGGGGGAGCGTGTTGACCACTTCACTTATTTAGGAAATGGTATCAGCCAGTGCCTATGGGTTGGTCTCTGACGGATACAGAGGGCTAGTTTCGCATATTCCAGTTAACGCTGTCTCTGGCGTAGACGTGATATTCGGCAGCTGGCTATCGACCAAAGAGCGGGTGTACTGCTCAGCAGTCCGCTCCGTCTTCCTTTATGGCTGGCTGTGAGACATAGCCATTAAAAATGGAAGACATGTGAAGGTTGGCTGGTTATCTTTGATCATAGGTGCCTGTGTCTTCTATCTCCCGTGGTATAATAAGGTGAGGAATATTGAGGTTAGGCTTCGGCCGAGTGCTAGGGAAGGAGGGGAAATCAATCTACGAGGCTGTGAAATTACATCGACTGAGATGGTTAGGACATGTGTTACGTATGTCTGATCATCGCCTTCCTGGATAGTGGGCAATGTAGGCTAACATAGGGTCAGGCTGGAAAAGAGCTAGCGGCGGTCAAACCAAAACATATCTTCATCGGTCAATGAAATTCACAACAGTTAGTTTAAGCTAGCCACGTAGGAAGGTGTAGACTGGCTTCCTGGTTGGAGTCCTCGGGACGGTAAAAACCAATGAAAACTGGAAACAATTGGTGATATGACTCAAAGTGATCGTTATCAATGGCTGGCTGGCGCAGATGCATCCACTCCTTGTGACTTATGGTTTCCAATGAAACTACATTGTTCTTCGTTATAATTATTCCGTTTGTCTCATATCCCCGTCTACTGTCTCTATTATGCATTTCTTCTACTTTCTTGTGTTGCTTTGTGTGCTAGAAGGAGTGGAGTGTGGCGACTTGAACTGGTGCGAAGTTCTATGTCGAAAACTGACAGACAGGCCTTATCCAATTAGCTGCTACAACATCGAGCTATAGTAATCTGAAGTCAACTTTTTACAATCTTGTCAAGATCCAGGTCTTTGCCTTATATCTTTAATCATCATTCATCACCTCACCTCACTGTTAGTTTGTCAGTCCAAGGTTATCTCAAGTATGCGTATCAACAGTTAAATTACTTCAACTTATACAGTTTTTTAATCTTATTTGCTTCTAAGATTTAGACGTTGTTCGGCAGATTTTCTAATGTATTGTTTCCTAATGTGTGTATGTTTCAGCATTCTAGATGATGCAGAATTATTTGAATTGAAGAAATCATTTACTGTTGATGAATTGTGTTCAATGGGTTCATTTTTCAATCACTTGATTTATGAATCAGTTATTATGGTACCTGACCGTAAGTTTCTTGTATATATGCCTTGTTCTAAAATCTTAACTGTCTGCATACACTACTTATTATCTGACCAATCTGATGTCTATATAATTTCACTGATAACTGTATAGTGACATCACTAGACAAGCCATCGCTCGAATGGAACCCAGAAGGGAAGCGGCGAGCTGGTCGTCCAAAGTTGACTTGGAGAAGGTCATGTGAAGAGGAGGTGAAAGCGTGTAAAAGTTGGCAGAAAACCGAACGCAATGGAGACTTGGGCGGCTGAAGCCCTATGTTCCTCTAGGAACTAAAGGATAAAATAATAATAGTTACTATAACGTCTATACGATTTAGAACAAGCAATAACAAAGGTTAATAAAGCCGGATTCAATGATGAATTCATCAAATTTCGGCAGAATTCGTCAGCTGAATACTGTACATACACGGATATATATACTTTTGAAATTACACTGGGAGATATAAGACTGAAAAGTAAACAAACTAAGTTAAATTAGTCATGCAGAAAGACAAGTGTGAATGTTTTCCAGGTCATGTTCGAATAGATAAGGGTAGATAGAGTATGAAAGATCAAAATTAAGATAAATTGCATTTCGCTTCAATTACATCAGTTAGATAAACAATTAGGCATTAGGGAATATAACGAGAATTGCAAACAGACGAATATCAATAGTAATAGTTATAATAACAATTTTAATAGTGTTGAAGTGAGTTAAGATAATGCTACTGATAAAGGATAGTTTGAAGTGAATCAATAAAAATAATAATAATAATAGTTAGAATAATAAGTAAAACGTATTGCAATTGCAAGCATCTTCTTGTTTCTTTGTCTGCTGACAGCAGTGAATGACTTGACAGCGTAGATATCATATCCATAATCCACAAGATGCTTTATTATTATTGAGGTTTTTTGGCACTTTGCACTCAGCTGTTTTCAACCATTTCAACAAATGCTCCATCATCCGAGAAGACAGACAATCGCCTTTCTGTACGACCTATGTATTTGCTTCCACAAACGCGCTCAAATTGATATACGCAGTTTTGAAGTGTCGAGGATATTGGCGAGTACACCAGTCTTTCCCAGATTGTTGAAGCACTCGCTTGGTGGTGTTAAGGAAAACAAGTTTTGCAGCATAATAAGTTCTCTTGATTGCTTTATCGAGTCCTTCATTTGACTGCTACCTGTCCATCATCTCCTTTGAATGGCAAACTGATATAGACAGATTTTCAAGTGTTGGTTTTGTAGGGATTTTGTTTGATTGCATGGAGGACTTAATCATGAGCTGACATCAGTTAGAGAACCACTGGAAAACAAGCTGGGAGTACTGGACAGCTGTTTCGTCCTAGTTTGGGACTCTTCATCAGTACTCTGGGTTCGAATCCCGGTGGGTGCGTGCTGCTGAAGAGTCCCAAACTAGGGCGAAACAGCTGTCCAGTACTCTCAGCTTGTTTTCCAGTGGTTCTCTAACTTATGTCAGCTCATGATTAAATCCTCCATAGGCAGATGTCTTCAGAACTATTTGCATTGTTTTCTAGGGGCTCCATCTCTTTAGAGTATTTATTAATGGACTTCTCAGGATATCCATTGTTAGATAAAATATCCTTCAAAGATTTTATTTCATGCTCAATATTACTGTGAGAACAAATTTTTCGTGCTCTACTGAACAGTGTTCTGACTAAGTTCTTTTTTCTACTGCATTGGAACAAAGCTCTTGAAATGCATGTATGTGATTTAGATTTGTAAGGATTGAATTGAAGTCCAGATATAAAGAAGCTAAGTGTAATAAGAATTGCCAGTTTTGATATTAGCTCATATCTATGCCTTTGAACCACTGTGGGAGCATGATTTCGTCAAGGTTGTGTAGGTAGGTGATGAATAGTTGTAACAAGCATAAGAACTACTTCTTACATGGGGTTCCTGTCGATTAACCCTTGAAACCTAACAGGCTGTTAAAAATAAATGTGTTTTTGAAAACAACAAATTTTTTCACGAGAAAATCAGTATGTCCACGTGATTCATTGAATCAATCTGGTCAGTTGTTGACCTCTCAGGATATTTTAGTGGTGTAACACTTTTTTTTATTCATTAGAATACAAACTTTGGTACATTATGAGCGCCAGGAGAGGAGTCATACTTAATCTCATAGTTTGTTCGAAAGCTTGAATTGAATACTGCTTGGACGCCCAATCCCAATCAGGGGGCCATCCTCGGAGCCTTTAACTTGAAGTGTGATCCATAAGGTGGTGGACCAATGTGAGGAGATACGTTCTCATGACTTCTGGCAACCAAAACAGCCTAATACGCTATTCGATTTTTTTTCAGATTGTGGAGGCCATGTACACTCTATAGGGTTTTCAGTCAGGTTTTCCAGTTCCTCTAGGCAAACACTTGCATGTCAATCATCTGCTGGGAGCTCCAGACGTTGGGGGTTCGCAATGTGAAGAAAACCTTTGTCGCTGTGTGAAGGCAAAGTGATGAATTGGACTCACCTAGCAGAGACTATAAATGTGTGTGGATACATGAGAGCATTTCGAGGGGAAGACTGAGGTCTACCCACACTCGGCCGTACCAGGTCGTTTACTGGAGGGTATTTTAGTGTTGTGTAAACAGAACGAATTATGCGTCAGACTGTGTGCTGGGAGCGAGGAAAAAACGCTGAACCAAAAAGAAGACTCTAGAAGCTCTGAGGTTCGCAGATGATTTATGTTTAACGTCACACAAACTCAAAGAATTGCAGGCGAAAACCATAAAACTGGCCGTAGAGGCGGGTAGCACGTCGACATAGAGAAGACGAAGGTGATAAAGATAACCAATTGATACCAGCGACAACCAGCACCAATCCTCATCATTGGGAGAAATTCAAAAGAGGCTACTTCCTTCACCGAAATGCACACAAAACCTCTCTAATCCTCACTTATCTTTGTCTTCATCTTCATCTCTATTACCTTGCCTTCCTCCCACTGATGCAACTCCTCTACTTGATGGCTCCTCACTCCTTCTTCACTCTGTGTCCACTAAAAACTACGTGTTTTCGCTGACTTACACCATCTCTGGCGTAGGCGTTACATCCAGTTATCAACCAAGGGACGTGTGTACTGCTCAGCAGTTCGCTCCGTCTTTCTCTATGGCTCTCAAACATGGCCAATACGCGTTGAAGACATGAAAAGGTTGACTGCTTTCGATCATAGATGTCTGCGATCTCTGTCTCACGTTAGGTGGTATAATAGAGTAAGTAATGTTGACGTTAGGCGTAGAGTGTTGGGCAAAGAGGGAAAATCAATCGACGAGGCTATAAAGTTACATAGACTAAGATGGCTAGGTCACGTGCTGCGCATGCCTAACCACCGCCTCCCCCGACGGGCATTACTAGCTGATATAGGTGCAGGTTGGAAAAGAGTAAGTAAGTGGTGGCCAAACAAAAACATGGCTTCATCAATCCATGAAATCCTTGACAGTTAAACTGAGTCAGTCAGGTAGGGAGATGGAGACTTCCGGGTTGGGGCCCTCGGGACTCTAGGAATCAATGGCTGGAAACAATAGGTGACATGGCTCAAAGTCGTTGTCAATGGCCAGCGTAGATGTATTCAGTCTCTGTAATCTTTCATATTCCTTTCTACCATTACCCATTGTGTTTCACTCCTATACTTCTCAGACTGTATTGATTCTCTTCACTCATCTTCTTGTCTACCTTTGTGTGGTATTTGGAACGTGGGCAACTCGAACTGGTGCACTTCGGTGGCAAGTTCTATGTTGAATCCAGACAGACAGAGACAGACTTCCTTCACCTATCTAGGAGGCACGGTTTCAACCACAGGCATTCCAGGCTTCATTGCTTCTTACCATCTCTAGGACTCCAACCAGTCAGTCAAGCAGTCTACACCTTCCTAAGTGACTAACTGGCTGTCTGTCTGAAACTAACTGTTATTGATTTGACTGAGTGATGAAGACATGTTTTGGTTTGACCACCACTAGCTTTTTTCTTTCCAATCTGATCCCTTAATAATGTCAGCTAACATTGCCTGTTGTCGCAGAAAGTTGTGGGTGGGCAGGTATGCGTAACACATGTCCTAACCATTTCAATCGATGCAGTTACTTCACACCCTCCTTACCTAGCACTCGACTGACGCCTCACGTCAATATTGCTCACCCTTTCACACCTACCACCTAACACGGGAGATAAAACTCAAACACCTTTGATCACAGACAGTTAATCAGCCTTTCTATGTCTTCCACTTTCAATGACCATGTCTCACAATCAGATATAAACGAAGACAGAGTTAGTTGTCGCTGAGCAGTACACACTCCCTTTGATCGATAGCCAGTGAGAAATCACGTCTACTAAGCCAGAGATAGCGTAAGTTGACATAAGCCAAACGAGCCTTCTGTATCCTTGCTGAGATTTGGATCATTGATTAACCTGTTGCGGGTTGGCTAATACAACTTTCCAAATAAGTAATGTGATCAACACGCTCAGTCACTACTTCGCTCTTGCCCTTCTTTAAGTTAGGAATGAGTCAGTGTAGTTTAGTCCTGTAGCATCATATCTTCTTATATTGGAATTGAGCAAATCGCATGTCAAACATTCGAAGATTGCTGCTACTCAAGGTGTTCCGAAGACTCCATATTTTGGTCGGTCGGCATCTAGGAGGACTAGGAGGGAGGACTATATCATATGTATATTCTAAGTCAACGAGATCCACGAAAGCATCCGCAATCATAAATTAGGCGTCTAAAAAAGACACAACACGTATTAACATAACAGGAAGACGACACATCCACGGACACCAATTCGACTAGGGGAATGTATAAATTCATGACAAAGGAAAGACAAAAATTCACCAGATAAAATTTCTAGTGTAGCCACTTAGTAGTATTCAGACGAATCTGCAATTAACACAGACACATTGACATAGATATATAAGATTTACCAAAGAAAAATCAATAAAAAAATGACAGTCACATCGACAAAAGGTCATTCTTCTTTCAGGTCAACAAAGAACACAAT